TGTGTACGTGGGCAGATAAAGGTCATTTGTGTAAAATTGCAAAACTCGTAGATATGAAAACTGGATAAGTGTTAATGAAAGTTATGTAATCAATCATTATTCATTTATGTACCTACTTTCTATGGTACACAGGTAGAAGTACATGTAATTCTTTTCAAGAGGGCAAACAAAAGGTTTTCATGAAGCACCTCCATCTCTTTGGCAGTGATTATTCTAGAATGTGAGAAGTGGGACTTTTCCATGTTTGAAGATTTCTCGATATTAGGTGGGGGGTGGGGGTCATTGTAGAAGTGCTTTCTCTGAACTAGTCTATTATGACGTGTCTGACCTGATGTTTCTGATTATCTGCATTCCCACTATCATTACTAGTTATAATCATTCCTTCATAAATGATACTCTAAAATAAAAGTAATTTGGTCTGTTGCTTTTTCTGCAACTTGCAATGTATTGGCGAGTTTTGAGCCAACAACTACATGCAGGTCATTTATGTTAAAAGTATTATATCAACAAGTTTCAAACAAACTAATTTCAGTTGAGGCTTTAAAAAATATACATCAATAGGCCTCGTCCATCATTAAGCTGTCGTTTCAGTGAACATGTGTACCAGTATGTATTTACAGCCGACTGGAAGAAAACAATTTCATACTTAACCACAAATGTTCATTTTTGTAGAGGAATATTAATTCAATATTTGTTTTAATAGGTACTTTGCTTTCTGTAACTCTGTAACAATGTTGGGGACTGATGTTTATTATTTTTTTCGTTATTATTATGATTGTTATTATTATCATTGTTAAACTATTTGTTAAATTACCTACCATGACTTTTTTAGTGCCCCCCCCCATATGTTTGTGTATGTGAAGGAGTCCACAAAATCAATATATTTATTTGCTGGAGTACATGCTCTATATTCATTTTTATATATCAGAAGACTATCGAAAGTGAGAGAAGTAGGTCTTCTATGTAAAATCCCCTCTATTATTGTGCATATTGTAGACTTGGGTATGAAGAACCATTTTTATGAAGGATTAAAAAAGAAAATTATGAAAAGAAGAGATTTTCAGAAAATGAGAAGTTGTTGAAAAGACTATTTTGTAAATCACTTCACTGGAGAGATGAAAAAGAGAGAAAATTATGAAGAGGAAAGAAGGGAGATACTATGAAGAGGAAACAAGAGAAACATAATAAAGAAGAAAAGGGGGAGAAAGTTATGAAGAAGAAAAGAGAGAAACATATGAAGACGAAAAGAGAGAGAAACCTATGAAGAATACAAGAGAAACTTAAGAAGAAAAGAGAGAAACCTATGAAGAAGAAAAGAGAGAAAGCTTTGAAGAAGAAAAGAGAAACTTATGAAGAAGAAAAGAGAAACTTATAAAGAAGAAAAGAGAGAGAAACCTATGAAGAAGAAAAGAGAAACTTATAAAGAAGAAAAGAGAGAAAGCTTTGAAGAAGAAAAGACAAACTTATGAAGAAGAAAAGAGAGAAACCTATGAAGAAGAATAGACAAACTTATGAAGAAGAAAAGGAGAAACCTATGAAGAAGAAAAGAGAAACTTATGAAGAAGAAAAGAGAGAAAGCTTTGAAGAAGAAAATACAGAAACATATGAAGAAGAAAAGAGAAACTTATAAAGAAGAAAAGAGAAACTTATGAAGAAGAAAAGAGAGAAAGCTTTGAAGAAGAAAATACAGAAACATATGAAGAAGAAAAGAGAAACTTATAAAGAAGAAAAGAGAAACTTATGAAGAAGAAAAGAGAGAAAGCTTTGAAGAAGAAAATACAGAAACATATGAAGAAGAAAAGAGAAACTTATAAAGAAGAAAAGAGAAACTTATGAAGAAGAAAAGAGAGAGAAACCTATGAAGAAGAAAAAGAGAAATTTATGAAGAAGAAAAGAGAGAGAAACCTATGAAGAAGAAAAGAGAAACTTATGAAGAAGAAAAGAGAGAAACATATGAAGAAGAAAAGAGAAACCTATGAAGAAGAAAAGAGAGAAACATATGAAGAAGAAAAGAGAAACTTATGAAGAAGAAAAGAGAGAAACTTATGAAGAAGAAAAGAGAGAAACATATGAAGAAGAAAAGAGAGAAACATATGAAGAAGAAAAGAGAGAAAGTTATGAAGAAGAAAAGAGAGAAACCTACGAAGAAGAAAAGAGAAACTTATGAAGAAAAAAAGAGAGAAACATACGAAGAAGAACAGAGAAACTTATGAAGAAGAAAAGAGGGAGAAACTTATGAAGAAGAAAAGAGAAAAACATATGAAGAAGAAAAGAGAAAGAAAAGGAGTGAAGATGAAATGAGGGAGAAACTTAAGAAGAGGAAAAGAGAAACTTATGAAAAGGAAAGGAGTGAAGATGAAAAGAGGGAGAAACTTAAGAAGAGGAAAAGAGATTTATGAAAAGGAAAGGAGTGAAGATGAAATGAGGGAGAAACTTAAGAAGAGGAAAAGAGATTTATGAAAAGGAAATGAGTGAAGATGAAAAGAGGGAGAAACTTAAGAAGAGGAAAAGAGATTTATGAAAAGGAAAGGAGTGAAGATGAAATGAGGGAGAAACTTAAGAAGAGGAAAAGAGAGAGAAACTTATGAAAAACTACAAGTACCTCCTATCATTATACGAGGTACTTTCACAACTTCTGGGTTTTCTATCAATTTATCAAATTTATGAAACATTTAGTTTAATGTATGAATATCTAAGGTCAACATTTGGTCATTCCGGTATGAAAAGGTATTTAAAATATATATTTCATAAATTTGATGAATGGTTGATGAGAAACCCAACTGTTGTGAAAATACCTTATACATTTATTACTTTATTATTATATCATTAATTTGTACATTTTTATTAAAAAATCTCTAATATTCCCCTCAAAAATAAAACAATTCTTGGAAAAAGATATTCCATAGCCTTAGAATTGACCCCCCCCCCAAAAAAAAAAAAGAAGAAGAAAAGGATGAAATTGCTGAAAAGAATGAAAAGACACCAGAATAGACATCAAATTTCAGGAGAAATTTATTGAATTGTTACTTCTTCACATTTAAATCAAAGTGCTTTACACATGTCCATTTAAAGTACCAAAATGAATAACAATGTCCAGATAAGTTATATACACACTCAGATAGGACAATATATTTATATCGATAGAACACTGCCACTGTCACAAGCTTTACAAAGTACAATTTAGAAAATCTTTGTGAATTAATGGTGCCCCCTACTTTAAAGGACTTAAACTTATGGATTTTGTACACATATAAACTTACGGTATATAGAATAAAGAAATAAAGAATTTTATACAACTCACTCCTAATCAAGGATTGGTCAAACATGGTCACGTGTGATCATTACAAATTTATCATGAAAAAGCGTGCAATGGTTCCCAGTACTATCTACGGACTTTGAAGTACGTGATGCGCAGCAGTACGTGTAGTAGAGTAGTTTACGTGCGTACAGGTATACTGTGTGTGTGATGTGAATTCATGGGTAGCAATGCTCATTAACGCGGGTAGAGGTAAGTGCGCTTATCTCGGTGTGCACGCTAAAGTGGGCCTTTTAAACTTGAGATTTATATGTCAGCGATGATGACACAAAACTAGCTTGAAAAAAATCTTCTTACATCAAATAACAAGGATCTAGGAGTCGTGTATAAAAAAAAATGATGCATACGGTATTTTAATTTGTTCATAAAAGGATTTACTCAATCTTGTTAAGGCTGTCTTTGCACCTATCGTACAAAGCCGATAGATGCATACAGCCTCAACATGAGTGCGAATAGATCCTGTAATCAAGTGTAATTTGCACTCAGATCATCCCTTGACCAACAAGTCCAACACTGTACATAACCTGTCATAGGTACCCCAGCAAAGCATAGAAAGTCAATGCTAATGCGTTTTGACCTCTAGCACTGCACTACGTGCTAATACGATAGGCAGCAATTGCACACGTGAATAGTCAAGTCAATACACACATAACACACAAATGCACGTAATGAAGATGATGTGGCTGTAAGCAAGTTTGACAGTAGGCTCATGATTTGAATTTTCGAATTATTCTTTCTAACATCAGTAAGTTGAAGAAAAAAATTGTATTTTACTGCTATTTTGGTGTCATAAATTGTCACTAAAGTACTGATTTTTAGTGAAATCAGTTCGAGTTTTGTACAGTGGTGTTTGAAATGTTGAGAATCAATAAATCAGTTTTGAATACACAGCCAGGATAGTGATGCAGCTACATGTATGTGTGGTCATGGGTCCCTACTGGGAATCTTATCTTTAAACTAAATAGCTACAATTCGATTGTCTGTTACCCTGTAGCATCAAAACAAACATTTTCTCACACGAATCGTACACAATTCAGAATTGTATTAGAACAAATAACCAACAATTCATTAATTCATCATAAAATTGAAATTATATGTCTACAACAACCTGACCTTTTTCCGTCCTGTAAATGACACAGAAACATGTTTAAAAATAAGAAATACCTTGTCTTACAAAAGGTAAGAGCAAAATTACACTGTAATAATATAAACACTACAATTCAAGAAACACCTTTTAAACGTAACATAAAGCAAAGTTGAAACAAAACATGAAACAATAAGAGTAAAAGCATAATATCTACAAAATATAATAACAACCCTCCCCCTTGTCAGGCATCAAATCACAGAGTTAATTGTAAAATAGAAAATGCAATGTGAAGTTCAGTATTTGTACAAGTGTCAAAAAGGAAGAAACAAATCATGATCATCTCGATATAACAAATTCTAAAAAGAAATCATAAAAGTTATTTACTCTAAAACTATGAAAAATAATTCACTTAAAGCCTGTCTGCACTAGTTTGGCCAGGGGGATTAGACCTCCCTTCGTGGTAGCTGGCAGGTGGTTATATCATCAAATCAGCTCTCAATTAACATAAGAAAAAAGGTACCACGGGGGATCAACAGGTACCCTTAGGAATTGTTGGCTATATAGAGGGCGTAAGTACCTACAAGTAGTGCAGTGGGGCTTTAAAGGTGTCATGATGGCCATCAGCAGGTTACAAAACTGATTTCTTGGCTTCACTTTGAGAAGTCATCTTTCCCCTCTTCCATTTGCCAGATGTCCACACGAGGTCTGGGGAAGAAAAAAAGGGCAACATTTTAAGGGCTGTAAATCGCACAATCAAATGTCATGTAATATACCAGTTCATCCATTTTTTTAAAATGTGTACATCTACAAAAAAGAGGCCTGTTAGCAGACCGATTCAAGATAGCTCTATCTAAACTATAATGATTTTAAATCTAAATATCATGCATGCCAATTTTATTGGGCCCCAAATCATTTGGGTTCATAAACCATGTAGAAGTTATCGGCATCGGCAGCATCTGTGTTTCAGCCATCAGGTCCCTGCTTAAATGAAACATTGTCTGGGTCTAAATTTAAAAACCAACATGTATTAAATTGACAATTAAAAGCACAATACCACCATAATACCATCATCAAGCACAATAAAGTATGTGATGTAAATCACCTGTTTCCATGGCAATCACTCAATCACTGTCAAACTTGATGGAGTTGATTGTGGTGGAGATCTGCCCGCCTCTATAGCTGCCTCTCTTCTTCTTGGTCTTCTCATGACGGAACGCCTTGCCCTTCACCACCTTCAGATCTCTGTTGGCTCGCTCTCCCCAGCAACCAGAAGCTCCTCTCTGTAAACAACAACAACATGAAGGATAACATAAAGTAATTTATATTGGGATCCAGCCAGAGCAATAAAACTATAATCACAGTTGGCAGTGAGAAATGAGACTACATGTACCACCCACCCATAGGGAGGGTGTCTCCTTTTCCACTCCAATATGCTAACCTTATGAAACATCCAAAATAATGATCTCCAATGAGTTTGACAAGATAAGGGTTAGGATTATCAATAAGTCATTCTACATTTTGTGGTATGGCTCAACATCATTTGAATCATAGTCTTATACTGTTTTTACACCTGGTTTGGGGGGGGGGGGGGGTGGCTAAGAGGGTTTTTAGCGCTGCAAGTTCCCGGGCTATCTTTCGTGTTCACACATGTTTTTTTGCGAAAGTGAGTTAGCTCCGCAAGATCACAGGCCCTGCTCCAGAGTAAGGATAGCGCGGCAATTTCCGCGCTTTCCTTCAGGTGTAAAGCCTGGCATATCTTTTGAACGATGGTGCACGTATGAATATTCAAGAATATGAACCGTCACCCATGATAGCGCACGTTTTCCGCAGTAGCACGCAGGGGTTTGCGACTTTGAAAATCCTCAAATTGTTGCAAATGACGTTTCATTCTCTTCCTTCTACTGTAGTTAAAGGGATCGTTTAACAATGTTAAATCTGAGATGCACGGCCCTACGTGTTATCAGTGTCTGTGATATGGTGTAATATTGAAGCCCTAAAAATATCGCGCCTCAAAATGATCAAGAAGTGGCTCAAAAAAGTAAAAATCTTTGAGTGACCAGTTTTACCATACTCGTTTTCCCCAATAGACTGTAGTGTTATGAAAACCGTTTAGCAAACGGTTTTCAAAATGTGTAATTCCAATCATAAATATCTTGATAATCAGACAGGTGATATAAAAGTCACGGAGTTCCCGACTGACCTAAAGGTTTATAATTATCATTGCAGCATGAGCTAAATCCAGGATTTTGTTTCAGAATCTGAGACAAAGTTATTGGATCCCTTAAAGCTATTCTGTCTCCGACGATGATTCTTTCTCAACAACAAAAATGGCAAGCAGGACAACCATTGTATCCTTTTGAATCCTGTGGCGTGCCATTTTGAAGAATTAAGTTGTCTGTCAACTTCGGGTTGTGGAGTCGTAGAACTGCACCGCGCGTGCGCACAGGTTAGGTCACGTAAATCTTCTGAATATTCCAATAGTCCCGGGTTAAGGCTAAGCAGGTGGGAAAACAGGCAACGTTTTAAAGCCTGGGCTAGCTGTTAACCCGGGGTTAATTTACCAGGTGTGAAAACAAATTTCTTAGCCCGGGCTAAGGATAGCCCAGGTAATCTGAACCAGGTGTGAAAACGGTACTAGTCCTAGAGCAAAATTGTCTTCATACACTGCATCCATGTTTCTTGCATGACCATACAGCATGGTAGCATAGTGTAAGTTTCAAAATCTTATATTTTCATCAAAACTGCCAATCTGAAGAAAAAAAATTGACAGAGTTCCTACACACAGATATTGTTTTTTAAGAGACAGTACATTTTAACAGAACAATGTAGCAACAGAAGAAAAAATTTAGTGGCCAATTTCAAAAACAACATGTCCTGATAGGGATACCAGATTGACTGCTTTGACTGACCTTAGCATCAAATGAATTGTCCTTGAGACGCCAATCAACCTCATGATCATCTTCTTTTACTCTGCGAAATGGTTCATTGGACTTCCTCCCCTTCTGAAACGAGAAAATCACAAGAAAAGAGTTCTATCCAACATGTATGATGTATGACAATGTAGTACCTCTTTAAATCTGATTGCATTCACACTGAATACATTTCACAGTTATTGAATCATTCTTCAATGAACTCTAAAAAGTATTAAGTAGAACTCTAAATTATTTTCATTCATTTATTAAAAGTTGAATAAATATTTTCTATAAGAAATATTAGTGATGTACTCTCCTCTTTAATATCATTTCATGAATAATTTAATATGATTTCAACTGTGGCTTCTCTTGTACAGTTGAATTTCTCTTCTATTTACACTGTAGCCCAAATTTGACTGGTAAATGTGATTGAAACAAAATTTCTAAAAAGCATCAAAGAGAAAAAAAAGTTACAAAATTCAGACAAAATGGATGTTCATGTATGGCAATGTCTTTCATACTAATCTCATCGAAAAGGGTCAAAACTCACAAGATCTCTTTAAAAGCCAGTAAAAAAAATGTTGAATTGCAAGAAATTGGAAAATTGAATAACTAAAATAATTATAAAAAACAATTTTGAGAAATGGAGCACGAACCTTCATCTTTGGGACTGTGTTAGGTGTTTTGGGTGTCTCCTTGACATCTTGGGTTGGTGTTCCTTTGATATTCTTCTGGCTTTCTTCCTCCTCATCGCTATCACTTTCGCTGCTTGATGATTGGCGTCTCTTCTATTGTAACCAGGAATAATTAAAGAATTAATAAGAAAGAGCATCAAACGTTATTACATGCATGGCTATTGGTCTGAACTCTGAATTTAAAAGTCTTTTAAAAACCCGAAGAAAAAAAACCAAGCAATAAACAGATGGATAAATATTTAGGGGGGAATATTAAGCATTGCAAAATCACATTCACATTCAACTGTGAAATACAAATATCATGAACTTTTTAATTAGCATCTACAAATTACTGAATATCAAACTTCTACAAGAAGGTTCACATTATGTTGAGCTATAAAGCAATAATCATATTAATGAAATGTTGAAAACTTGAAATTCAAGCTATTCCTTCACATTTTTGTTCTCATAAGTACTTTAATTTTGTTTTTTAAATCAAAGTTTATGAAAATGTGACATCTTCTGGGAGGGAGTTTATATTAAACCCACTTATCACCACGAAATTAGAACAAACTTCAGAAATCATTTAAAAGGAATTATCTAACCCGTTTGTGTTCAAAATCGCCTGTGTGTAGTTCGTATATTATTACAAAGCATGAAAATGATATCATTCAATTCCATTCAAAACTATATCTTGCATTGCATTCTTAAATGTAACAGTTTAGGTCAAAGAGTGTCAATATGTTTCAATTCATTTCAGTTGAGAAAGTTAGGGCAACAAGCTTCAATGAACGAAGAGGGTCTTAAAGCCTGCACTAACTTGGCTAGGGGGGATTAGACCTCCCTGCAAGGTCACTGACAGGTGGTTATCTCATCAAATCAGCTCTTAATAAACATAAGAAAAAGGGGATCATGGGGGACCACCAGGCATCGATTAGGCATTGTTTGCTATATATATATATATATATAGAGGGCGCAAGTAGCTATAGTACAAGACAAGTAGTGCAGTGGGGCTTTAAAAAACTCATAATTGTCTGCAAATGCTATGCCAATGGAAGGGCAGGAGAAAATTGTACAAGGGGTGCTTACCTTTGTCAAGACCTGTTTCTTCGCCACTGGCGTCTTTTCCTCTTCCGACTCGGAACTCTCGCTACTGCCATCAGAGTCATTACCATGTTGAATGCCATTAACCTTCACTGCTTTGGGGGTTTGAGGTTTGCTGGGTGCTGCATCGTCGGAATCGCTTTCCGATTCCGAACTACTGCTGTCTTCGACTGGCTTCTTAGTCGCAGGAGATTTGGCTTGTTTACCGGGTGCAGGAGATTTGGCTGTTTTGGTGGGAGCAGCATCGTCCGAATCGCTATCTGAGTCTGAACTACTGCTGTCTTCGGCAGGCTTCTTAGTCGCAGGAGATTTGGCCGTTTTGCTTGGAGCAGGGACGTCTGAATCGCTTTCTGATTCTGAACTACTGCTGTCTTTGACTGGCTTCTTAGCCGCAGGAGATTTGGCCGTTTTGCTGGGAGCAGGAACGTCTGAATCGCTTTCGGACTCTGAACTACTGCTGTCTTCGACCGGCTTCTTAGTTGCAGGAGATTTGGCCGTTTTGCTGGGAGCAGGGACGTCCGAATCGCTTTCTGAATCTGAACTACTGCTATCTTTAACTGGCTTCTTAGTTGCAGGAGATTTGGCCGTTTTGCTGGGAGCAGGAACATCTGAATCGCTTTCTGAGTCTGAACTACTGCTGTCTTCGACCGGCTTCTTAGCCGCAGGAGACTTGGTTTGAGACTTTGTTGCATTTAGAGTCTTCTTACTTGCTTCCTCTTCATCTGATGAGGAATCACTCTCAGAGCTGCTTGAGACGGGCTTCTTCTTTGAAGGAGTCTTTGCGGGGGTCACCTTGGTCGCCTTCGGAGCTGGTTTCACTTTTTCACCTTCTTCCTCTGATGACGAGTCAGACTCTGAACTACTTGCAGCAGGCACCTTGGCTTTACTCACATTCACCTTGACACCTTTTGGGGTAGCTTTCACCGGTTTAGCAGCACTCTCATCATCCGAAGAGTCACTTTCAGAAGATTCAGACGACTCCGCCTTTTTAATAGGGGCCTTTGGGGTAACTTTTGGGGTAACTTTTGGGGTAACTTTTGAAGTTGATTTCACTTTTGGTGTGGCAACTTTTACTGGTTTAGGGGCAACATCCTCCTCGCTATCATCATCACTATCCGAGCTGCTTGATTCTGCCTTTTTTACCGGTACTGTTTTAGCCTTGTTTGGCGTTTGCTTCGCCTTTGGCATTTTCTTTACCTCCTCTTCTGAATCACTTTCTGAGCTGCTAGACTCAGCTGGTTTGGACTTGGATGGAACAGGTGTAACCTTAACAGCTTTTCTAACTTTGGAATTTGCTGCATTCTTTTTTACTACTTCTTCATCCGTCGAGGAAGAGTCTGAATCGGAACTAGAATCCTGTTTTTGTTGCTTCGTCGTTTTACCTTTTGGTGTGACTTTTGGAGCAGGTGTCTCTTCCTCGTCACTTGAACTTTCTTCGCTGCTCGACTCCTGCTTTTTCACTGGGACTTTTTTGGCAGGGATTGCAGGCTTCTGAACTGTTTTTTCATCGTCACTGGATTCCTCCTCGCTGCTTGAACTCTCCTGTTGTTTTTTGGCAGGAGTTTTTTTAAGAACTTTCTTGGGTTTAACCGCTGGTTCATCATCGCTGCTTGATTCATCTGAGCTCGATTCTGCATTCTTTCTTTTCAGTCCTGCTGAGCTGGTTGCAACTTTTTTTACCGGTGCCTTGACTGACGTCGTCTGCGTTTCATCGTCCGAACTTGATTCACTACTGCTCGTTTCACTCTTTCGAACCTTCTTTGCAAGAGGTCCACCGGTTGCTGCCTGGCTACTCTCACCTTTTCTTTTAGTTGACGTCTTATCTTTCTTCCACCATGCCTTGTAGAAATCCATGACTGATGGCTGATCAGTGTCTGGAGGATGCTGTAAATAAAGTCAGACACACGATGGTTAGCATAAATATACTTGAGTGGGGTTAGTTAAAATGCTTCTATTACAAAACATAAAACAAATACAGACATAATTTAAAGCTTTCACTATGAACATGACGGACAATGAAAGCGGACAAAATATACAGTTCCTCAGGTAGACAAAGGAACATCCCTTCACTGCTTTTATGTAAAAATGTGTGGAACAGGTATCACATGCATATTCACCTGTTCTACACATTTTTACATAATAGCAGTGAAGGGATGTTCCTTTGTCTACCTGAGGAACTGTATATTTTGTCCGCTTTCTTTGTCCGCCATATTCATAGTGTTTGGGCCTTGCACTGAGAGTAAATAAATCGCAATTAAGGCTCTTTCACATCATCCTAAACTACAGCAGACCCTGTTTTCTTATGTCATGACAGCAGCGTTATTTTCTTTTCAAAATGTTCTGAAGCTCACAACACGAGATATTACTAGCTTCATATACTAGACTGTGTGTTTTCCTGCAGCTACTAGTACTGCATCATTCCCACTTTACAATCGTGTAGTTCCCCCCCCCGTGGCCATGCACACAGAAAGAGCAGTTTCCCCATGTCATCTTGGCCTGCGCCTGGTCACATAAAATTGCCATTATTCAAAGCATTATTAATTATATTAGGGCTTTAGCCTTTAGGCATTCAGTAATATCTACATTTCGGTATGTCAATACCTGTGATACACATAACGCGTGTGGCTGAATGAAGCACGCCGCGCCAGCCCCGGTGTAGTTTGACATGCGATGTCGCATTATGCCGTAGATATGCGCCGAACGCGAACTTGGCTAACTTACCGTTCCCGTTTCTTTTTTGAACCATTTTGCAGCCTTCTCCAGTTTATTTTGGATCAAATATTTCAATACATGTGGGAACAACTGACTTGGAGTAGCTTCTTCCATGTTTGGGTCCTTTGAGAGCTAATATTTAGTAAAACATGACAATCCTGAAAAATGAGTGTAGACAATTTCGCACACAGTTACCACACGCGACACACGTGGTAAATTAAAGGTACACCGATTTAGTCTCTTTCAAGAATTTTGTATTTGTTTAATTATGAAGGACATAATATTTGTGCCAGAAATGGGGATGTATATTATTAGTGGATCGAGGAGGGTTAAAATAGGGGTGGAAGATTTGGATCGAGGCGGTGATATAGGGCTCCCAGACAAAGAGACCAAAGAATATTAATAAGCATAGAGTGAGTTAGTCCCAGGGTCGGCGTAGCGTCTTTCAAAGTGATGAGGGAGCATCAGCAGCAACAATTAAAAAAGGGCACTTTCTGGGGAAAAAGGGGGCACCTACAAAGGGAAACCTCAAAGCCCAAATACACTATTTTTAGACGTTGGTATATACCCCCATATATTGTGATTAAATTATCAGGGATTTGTAATATTGTTTCTCTCTGTACAGGGTCCAAGATATACTCAGGGATATGTGAGTTATCATTACAAGATATATACTCATTATATGGGGTGACGTACGTCAGGGTCTGAACATTTATTATTTGAGATTTAAAAGGTCGCAGTGCAAAAAATTACATCTTTAAAGAGGAAAAAACAACTTCCTGATGGAGTTATAAGCACAATTTGATAACGAAAGACTGAAAAGATCTTTTAATAAGAAACATAATTATATCAAATTTAGTGGTGAGAGACCTTTGGGTGAAATAAAAGAAAAAAAATCACATTTATGGTGAACAGAAGTAAGGGGGCACATATCCAAAGGAAAGGGGAAAAGGCACTGGCGTACCTATGGGGGGGGGGGGCAGGGGGGCAGAGTGCCCCCCCCCCTGACGGGCTCCAGGGGAAAAAAAAGAAAAAGCGGAAAGAAAAGAAAAGAAAGGAAAGGAAAGAAAAAGGAAAAGGAAAAGGGAAGAAAAAAGGAAAGAAAGAGAAAAAAGGGAAAAAAAGGAAAGAAAAAAGGAAGAAGAAGAGAAAAGGAAGAAAAAGGGAAAAGAAAATGAAAGGAATAAAAATGGGGAAATTTTTTTTTTAAAAAGACCATGGCCGTACGCACCAGGGGGGGGGGGGGGCAGTTGACCCCAGATATTTTGAAAACGTACAGTTTTTTTCCTGAAAATGTAGTGTAGGCCTATACCAAATCCTTCAATTCTACTTTTGAAAATGCAAAAGTACCCTCATGACCAGTTCGGTCGCTCGAACTCCCTTCACTCATTTTGCTTTTGAGATTCTTCGAAAACTTTTAACGCATCTTTCCCCCTCCCCCACCAGAAAAATATTCCGCATACGGCCCTGAAAAATTAAAACGAATGAAAATAGGGAAATATAAGTGATATAACAAATTCGAAACTCTTCGCTGGCGCGAACTGCTTGCTAGCCTATTTTGTATTAAATGTTTTCACTTGCTCGTCCCCTGAAAAAAGAAAAGGATTAGTATTGCCTATAATACAATTGTGCGACGGTCAACCATGGCAACAATAACACACAATTATGTACCAAATGTTACTACAAGAGACTAATTCATTTTTCTGGCTCGCGAATAAAATGAATAGACATTACTTTAGAAACAATAACCCTTGACCTGCAACAATATCATTAAAAATGGAAGAGTTTTTTCGTCCTCTCGCCAAAAAGGAATTGAATCGCGTTAAACGCGATTGCGTCCATCCTGACCTGCACCAATAAAAACAAGTTTATTTATTAATTTCTATTAAAAGAGAATTTATTTTTTTGCTTGCTCGCTATGCTCGCTCGCCAAAATGGAATTGACACCGCTAACGTGCCCGCCCCAACTCTGCAACAACCACTTAATAATTATGTACCAAACGTTATTCAAAGAAGTTTTGGTGTGCTCGTGCTCGCCAAAACGGCATATCAATTCCTTTCATAGCAAAAGCGCTCCTCACAATTTCTGTAAATTTGGCAGTTTAACGCTACGCGTACCGCCTTGACCGGACTGTGCGGTATCTGTGCAGTTCTGTGTGTAGAGAGGTCGGGCTGTATTCATTATTTCTTGGGGGTGCATAAATTGCTCTAATTATACGTACGCGTGTAATGCGCAAGTTTATTGTGACGGCACTAAACCCATCCCACTCATTGTTACCCTATTTTCATAATGGTACTGACCCAATGAAATGTAGTGCAGTGCGCTCGTACGCGCTGCGCTGCGTGTGTACATCTACTGTACCAAAGACATTTAAAAAAAGCTAATGAATTTATCATCTTGTCAACTTTCAAATAATTAAACTAATCATCAATGAATAAACATTAATGACATTTTAATGTCAACTACCATCTTATAGGATGAAACTGAGTGCTGGGCAGAAAGAAATTTCCTTGAAATTTGAGTGATAAAGATCTATCAGTCTATATCAAAGATTGAATCAATCAATGATATTTTAATTATAATTATGCATGTTAAAATTCATTTACCTCAGTCTATGGACTTCTGAATTTGAAGTTTTGTAGATTATTACATTATTGCTGCTTCAAGTATTGTATGTAAGAAGCAGGGCTTAAATTAATCCAAGGCCACCAAGGCCATGGCCTTGGATGCCCCCTTGATTGGCCTCAATGCCCCTCCCATTGGCCTTGGAGATTTTTGGTGCCCTTTCCAATTCTTCCTATTTGTGCTGTAATATAGGAATGTGCCCTACAGAAAAGTGGCCTTGCCCTAAAAATACTGAAATTTAAGGCCTGAAGAAGGTTTGAAAGACAACCCTCTAAATGCACTAAATATGAAAACTGCTAATCATTATTGCCTTTTGTATCCAAACTGCTAATTTTAATAGAATCATATTTTGATACTTTCTAGCTTTAAAAAACGGGGGGGGGGGGCTTATCCTCTTCCTGGTGCTGTTTCTACATGGACCATGTAGCAGGTTGCAAAAGTGTAAACAATATTATATTTGTTGTATGTTTATATTAGAAGGATTTAGAAAATGAAAACGTTTTGAATTATAGAATTACTGCTGCTAGAAGTAATGGCAGTATTGATGTGTAAGGGAAGGGGGTGGTTTTCCCAGTGAATTAACGGTATACCACTGTAAAATTAATAAAAAAAAGAGAAAACTATTCTTAAAAATAAAATTATGAAGGACATGGGCCTCCTAACTAACTAACCCTGGTACCACTTCTGTTTTTTTTTTTTTTGGGGGGGGGGGGGGCAACCCAATTCAAAATTTCCAGTGTTAAATTCCATTGTCTTTAAACAAAAATTATGTCAAGATGTTGAAAAACAATGTTTCACTTTCCGTTTTCAAGTTAGAAAATTTGAATAAAATGATTAACATATTTTCCGATCTCTCTGGTCTCTACATTAAAAATGTTCAAAGCTCCTGCAAAGGCTGCATAAAGGAAAAGTGAAGAATCCAAGTGAAATGTGGACAGTATTAATGGAGTGAATATGGAATGGTTGATCGTAGTTGATAACGAGTAAGTGTAAATGAGTGGTAATAACAACTACGACTGAAAGTGAGACAGAAAGGAACTGCTACAGGTTGTTCAGTCAAGACAACAAACCGTTAGTTGCAGAAGATAATTTACGAAAGACAGAGAAAGAGAGAGAAAGGGAATCATTAAGGTACGATGAGAGTGGGTGGAGAAAAACCATCCACTTTGCCACATAATTTGTCTAAAATAAGGAAACTTTATACATTAGCATATTTAAAATGTATAATCATAGCCAGAGAATGTATTGTTATATGGCTTTAATATAGCATGTTTGATTTAATAAAACAAAAACAGACCCAGTTATTGATGAGACTAAAAAGGGAATAAGTCGGATCAGTATTTCTTATTCAATGAAGTTAAGGCCACTCCCCCATATTAAAAAAAACAACAACAACACAACAACGAGAGGAACTTTTAAGATCCACTTCCAGATGCATCCTGGGTACACCAGCTGTTATACTGGTGATCGATAATACAAGTTCGAGCGCGTATTTCACCTAACGGTGATCGCATCAGAATAGTCCACACTGATTCGCTGAATCACTTGCGTTGCTAGCGCGCAGCGTGATGAATAAATTACCCATAATTCCGTACAGTAGATTATTTGACCTCTCTAATTACGCTGATACGCGTATTGTCTTTTACCATGTAGTGAACATCATTCCAGTACACTTTTCGCGGGGATCATCCTACAGAATGCATAATTCATAAGGCTCATGAATTATGCAAGGGGCTTATTTTGGCTTCTAATGGATCCGGACAAAATGGCGGAGCTTGGGGGGCCTGCGTACATGCATACGGCTAGCTGGCACAAAACCCTGGGTCGGGCTTCTAAAATGGGACATGAAGCATGATTTGACATGAAAAATGACGGAGCTAAAAATGAATCAATCAAAATGAAATTTATATGTATGAAAAGCTTACGTATCATATGTCATTGTCTGTGATTGAGGATTTACAAATTTGACGCAAAACGCGTTGCTGCAAAGTTAAAGATTGGTTTATTGAAAGGCAATCGAGCACAGTGCGACCGATCCATTGACATTGTGTATGAGAGAGTAATTTTTTTTAAATGGATTGTAAAGTTCAACGTCAAAGTGACGGAGGTTTTTTTTCAAGTAAGGGCATGGTTTTACATGGAATGTAAAGGAAATGTTTCCTTCTTCTCATATCTCGATTGAGGATATTATTCTCAATTTCGATTTTTAATGGTAAAGAAAAGTGTAAAAAGATGTCGAGAATTTTACCATATGTCATGTAATATAAAATGCGCGCGGGTCGGTTGATCTCCCAAAAGGAGCGCGAAGGAATTGATATGAATTAACATCACCTTAGACATGATTGTGTAAGCCCTGCCCTGCAACAAAAAAATCTGAAATTTATGAACCAATTATCATTACAAAAATTTTGCTCGCTCGCTACGCTCGCTCGCCAAAATAGAAATAACACCGCTTTTAATAATCACGTCCCTGACATGGAACAATGAACCCAAGTTTATATACCATATTTTCCCTATAAAAGAGAAGTGATTTTTTTTTGCTCGCTCACTACGCTCGCTCGCCAAAATAGAAATAACACCGCTTTTAATAATCACGTCTCTGACATGGAACAATGAACCCAAGTTTTATGTACCATATTTTCCCTATAAAAGAGAAGTGATTTCTTTTTCGCTCGCTACGCTCGCTAGCTCGTGGAATTATGTGCCCTGCTACAATATCATTAAAAAGAGAAATGTAGGGGGTTGCCTGCCCGCCAAAATGGGGTTGACATTGCCTTAAACACGATTGTGCCCGCCCCTACCTGCAACAATGAAACAAATTTTATATAGCAATTCATTGAGAGAAAGATGTATTTTCGCTCGCTAGCTAAAATGGGTATAAAATCACCCTATAAACACAATATTGTTCCCGCGCCCTGCATGGGACAATTGAACCAAGTTTAAGTGGCAATTATTAAAAAAGAATTGATTTTTTTCTTGCTCGCTACACTCGTTTGCAAAAAAACGAAATTAACGTCGCTAACAAGTGAATGCTCCCACCCCCAACATGCAACAATACCAGTTTATATACCCAACGTTACTTAAAGATTTTTTTTTGATCGCTCGCTCGCCAGAAGTGAAAATTAGCATCGCCTTTTTTTCATTTCGGTCGCTTGCCCCCCCCCCCCCTGACGGAGTACCCCAGGTACGCCACTGGGAAAAGGACACTTATTAGTAAAGAAAGGGAGCATGTGTCAAAGTAAAAAGTGGTTACTTATGTTATTACAAAGCATCTCTAAAACTTTGAATAAGGAGACTCACCTGCATGAAATGAAAAGGAGCACTCATAATTTATGAATGAAAAGAGGCCGCATACAAAGGAAAAGAGGCACTTGTCAAAGTATAAGGGACACCTCTCAGATTTGAAAAGAGGTGAAGGATCATTTTATCAGGGGTGGTAAGCTAGGGGTACTTCTTGAACTGAAAAGGGGCACTATCATCTGAGATAAATAGGGGCCGAATGGGAAGGGGCACTTATAACAAAGGCAATTGGCACTTGTCGAAGAAAAAGGGGCACCTAAATTTTATCAAAGGGGTGAGAAAATGCATTTACGAGAAGGGGAATCAAGTGGCTTATTTTTAAATGGGAATTTATCAGAAGGAAAAAGGTCACTTATTCGAAAGAAAAAGGGAGCACGTGTTAAAATAGAAGGGGCACTCATCAGAAGTGAAAAGGGGCACTCATAAGAGATGAAAAGGCACTTATCAACTGAGGGAACGGGTACTTACAAAAGAAAAGGGCACTTTATAAAGTAAAATGGACACCTCTTAGATTTGAAAAGGAGCAATTATCATATAGGTGAAGAGGGCACTTATCAGAGTTGTAAGAGGCATTTATAAACATGTGGAATAGGCAACTATTAGAAATAAAAAGGGGCAGTTATCAAAGTAAAATGGGGCGCTTCACAAGTTACTAAACAATTAGGGGCATATATAGTACGTAGGGTTAGTTGACAAATAGTTATAATCAATTTAAAAATGCAAGTTTTCTCATGGGTTGCAAGGTCAATTAAAACTAGGCCTAATTATGCATATATATATTCCATGGGAATTATATGGGGGTCGATCTTTTCGATATTTTGATCCTTACTTACCCGGCTTTCCCGAAGTCTAAAATGTAAGTTCAATAAACTCATTTCAATAAATGCACGAGGAATTAAACACATATTTGAAAACATTCAGTGTTTTCACGTATGACCGCGGCCGGGCACTTAATTTTTTTAATTAAAAAAAGGAGTCATCTTGTGATTTTTCGGGGTCTCTTCAACTTTTGGAGCATTCTTCGATCTTTTCAACAGTCTCAAATTTTATGTTAATAGTCACATACATTTTACATAATTGCAAGGAAATGTTAGGGAAGATTTTATCAATCTTAGATTTCAGGTGACTTTGTCAAAAGCATGCATGATAGTCCCTAGGATTTATGCTGGCATTTATTTGAAATTTAGTTTCGAAATGTTTTCATATTGTTCTTCTTCTTCCAGTTGCCCTCTTCCAATAATCAGTTTAGAAAAGGAGAACGAGACATTTACAGGGCGAACGTATAAATAACATGTCGAGTTGAAAGAGGGAGAAAAATGAATTGAATTGAGTCCATTTACTTCACACAGCAATCTCCGTTTGCTGAAAGTACTACGGAAGTAAGTTGGAGTAAAATATCTTGTTACGTGCCGGTACGCGTATACTAGTTCTTTGCAATGCAAAAACCTTAGATTACTCTCTCGCTCATTGATATCTTCTTTGGTTATCAGCTCTAGCTTATAAAAACTTTGTCGCGAGAAGAAATTGAAAACCCAAACCGAGCTAGATCTACGTCTACATTGAAATTGTGAGTGGTACATGCCTGTTATAAATTCCTCATGTTTACAGTTTATTAAAGTAAACTATCTTCCCATTCAGGTATTTTTCGACTCGGCTCCGGCCCGGTCAAGCACAAGGTTAAGGACAAGGTGACTGACCGGCGCGGCTAGCTGGCTTGGGAACTCCACGGAGCAGCTCAGCTCTGCTCCGCCCCTCTCGAGACGGCTGAGGCCCACTGCGCCTACGCGCTAAGACCTGGCTGTGTATTAAAACCTGTTCTGTTGACCAACGGACATGCTACGTTTTGGTGGGGTATTCTAAAGTTAAGCCATTTTTTCAACTCACCGCTGTCAGAAACTGAGAAAGAATAATTTAAAAATTAAGATCGCGAGTCCAGGTCTTAAAATGTTAAATTAATCAAATGCCTACCACCAAGGCCATGACGCGTGACGTGGATGACCCTCTCATTGGCCTTTTTTGTGCACTTTTCAATTCTTAAGCCCTATGATTTGTGCTGTAATATAATGTGCCCTACAGAAAAGTGGCTTGCCCTAAAAATATTGAAATTAAGGCCTGCGAGTCTACTGTCAAACTTGCTTACAAGTTACAGCCACATCAGCATCATTGTGTGCATTTGTGTTTTATTTGTGTATTGACTATTCATGTAGCAATTGCTGCATATTTAGCACGTAGTGCAGCGCTAGAGGTTAATAGCATTGGCTCTCTATGCTTTGCTGGACATGCTGGATCTGGAGTGGCTAAGTAAGACGGACTCCATAAATTAAAGCTACTAGTTTTAGTTGAAGTTATAACGTCTTTACTGTACTTCTTTCTTTCTGTCTCTAAACTGAAGATGGCACTGCTGTGGGGAGCAGCTGCAGCAGCAGTCGGAGGGCTGCTCGTAGCCAACATGGACTTCTGGTTGCCTAGGGGTGGAGCAGCGACCACGGAGGCCTACCTAGCAGGAGCCGTCCTTCAGCTCCTGGGTGAGACGAAGCTCCAGGCTCAGCTTAGCTTAGTGGACGAGGCGGTGAGGACATTCAAGGCCAAGGATCTGTGGAAGGATACAGGAGCTGTGGTCCTGGCTGTGCGCAGGCCTGGATGATCTTTGTGCAGAGAGGTAATTGTAGGAGACATGAAGTCAGGATGACGAAGAGCAGTCTTTAAAAAATGTTCCATTAATGGTACTATCTGGGTGGCGTTTCATAAAGCTGTGCGTAAAGTTATGCATGATTTTACGAATGACTTGAATATGAAGAGCTAAACGGGATTCTAAAATCCTTTTAATCGATAAGCTAAAGTTGAAATATGCAGATGTAGATAAACCGTATCATACATTGTTAACAAAACATTTTAATGCAAAGTGTATTTTTGGCTTCAATTTAATTGAGATTTTGGGAAAAGTCACACTTTGTTAAAATGTCAGGAAAAATTTTGGGCATCCCATTTGGCTCTTCATACACAGGCGGATCTAGGGGGGGGGGAACAGGAGGCACATGCCCCCCCCCCCCCCCCGGCCAAAAAAAAATGTTAAAATCAGCCCTAAATCTGCCCAAAATGTACTGAAAAACAGGGGCGTGCCCCCCCCCCCCCCCAACGGAGCAAAATGTCAAATTAAAAAAATTTGTGACCAAAAAAAAAAAAAGTGTCCTCTTACCCCCCCCCTATATATATGTTCTCTTTCCCACCGTGTGCCCCCCCGGCAAGAAATTCCTGGATCCGCCCCTGTTCATATTCAAATCATTTGTAAAGTCATTTGTAACTTTACGCACAGCTTTACGAAACATCCCCCAAGGCTGTCAGGTCTACAATTTATATTGGTATAGGAAACAAACAAGTTATCCGTGGAGAAACAAGTGTTCGTTGCCCAAAGCATCCTGTCGTTGCATCACAAAATTCTGGGATACCTACATTCAATTTTTGTTCCTTTCTTTTTTAATAATTTCTAGGAATCTAAATAGGTCTCCGCAATGAAACCAGTGAGTGGTGTCTGAGGTATCCTGCCATTGCTCCACCAATATCTTGGACCCCCGTATTTCATTTTTTTTCTTTTCTTGTCTTTATCTAGGAAGCTAAAGAGCTGTCCTCTCTGAAGCCGGAGCTGGATGCCCTAGGTATCCCGCTCTACGCTGTACTCCTAGAACCGGGAGGCTACAAAGAGTTCTTGCCTTTCTTCTCCGGTGAAGTCTTCCTTGATACAGAGGTAAGAGCTAAGGTTTATGCGGAAACCTAAAAACAAACTGATTGACAATTTTGACATACATGTTGATGCAATTATTATTATTACATGTACATATACAATTTATACATCATGTCAACATAACAATTTGTTCTAAACTATGTCAATATATTTTCATTGTCGAATTTGTGTCATCGTTCACAAAAGCAATATTGTACACGTGTTGAACCTAACATCATTGGTCTCTAAAATGATAATTACAATGCAGTGTAATGCTCTTGGCATGATTTTGATTCAAAGGTCCATATTAAAATGCATTTGGACTGGATGCCGGTATGAAATCGATTTAAAACCTTGGTCAACTTCTTCTTTAAATGCACCAAGCTCCAACCAAGCATCAGATTTTAATTATAGTAGAATTTGTGCAAAAATGTTAAAAACCTCATAAATAACTGTTTGTTAGTTTTTTTTTTTTTATAGTGCTGCTCTTTTACTATTTTGACTCCAATAGTGATTATTGTGATTTCCTCTGTTGATTTTTATGTTGATAACTCTTGTTATTAGACGAGGTTTTACGGAGAGGAGAAGCGAAACATGAGCCTTGTGGGTCTTCTTCGTATCTCAACCCTGCTCCAAGTCAGAGAAAACAAGAAACAGGGTATTCAAGGGAACTATATAGGTGAGTTTTTCTTTTTCTGTGTGGAAAATGTTAAAGTGGGACTGCACTACTTGTAGCTACTTGCGCCCTCTATATAGCAAACAATGCCCAATCGGTACCTAATGGTAACTTCCCCATGATCCCCTTTTTCTTATGTTAATTGAGAGCTGATTTGATGAGATAACCATCTGTCAGTGACCATGCAGGGAGGTCTAATCCTTCCTGGCCAAACTAGTGCAGACAGGCTTAAACAATTTATTAGAGATGAGTTGATTGTTGTCCAGAGGTAGTATTCTGGAAATTATTCAATTTTGATTTTAGTGTAATTATTTTTGCTGTCCACCAATTTTAAAGTTGCTCTTGCATGGATTTACAGTGGGCTGCACACAGACTTATGCACGGAAGTGTACCTGTTGGCTCAGTGTTATGTAGTGATCGCCAAGTTGCCTACTTCACGAACGACTATATATCCACGCATGATCATTTCTAAGGTGCAACTTTTCTAGGGTGTTTTGTGTAGTTGCGTCATGAGCTACCGAGGCACGGTCATTAAATAATGACATGCCATTACTAGTACTGGGAGGTGTATCACAAATACTAAGATCAACTTTAAGTTGGACTTGACTATAGCAGGCTGTTAATGCCATTGTTTGCTCTCACCTTTTACTTGCATTGGTCTTTCAAGGGACGTACAAATCATGGTCACAAATTATTTTTTTAAACAATTTTCAATAGTTCATTATTGAAGGAAAAATTATAATTCAAAGATCATAATTGAGTGACCAATGATGAGCGCAACCAGTGACATGAACAGCCTGCCATAGTTAAGTCCAGACTTGCATAATAACAAAGATAACACTCACAAATTATATTTCACCTTTTCCTAGAATTCAACCTTCTCTTTAATGCTAGATTGATGCAGCATTTTATTTTTAATATTCACAACTCAATTTTTTGTATGTGCAAAACAAGACTATTCCATATAATGTATCACATCGCACTAGCATATAAGTTCACAAGTGTCACATTTGCATACAGGTCAAAGAGGTCTTATTTCATACATATTCATTATCATGTGATAATGACCCCCCCCCCCCCTCTTCCCCCATTCTTCTGTAGCTATACATTACTGATGACATGACTTAAAGGCATCTTTTATTAACTAAGAAACCTCCACATCTTTGTTTGTCTTTCATGCAGGTAATGGTCTCACACTAGGTGGCATCTTTGTTATTGGACCTGGTGATCAGGGAGTACTCCTGGAGTATCGCAATAAGGACTTTAGCGATCACGCATCAAATGAGAAAGTGCTGGAGGCAGTTAAGAACATTGCCCCTTCTGCCCCTATTACCGCTAAAGTATCACCAAAGTTGTAACCCCTCCAAACTTATGACCCTTTTTATAACTCCTGGGGAGTGTTTCACAAAGACTAAGATCAACTTTAATTTGGACTTGAACTATGGCAGGCGATTTATGCACTTAAAAATTCTTGAACCAGTTGTAAAATTAGAGGGAAAAAATCTTAGAAATTTTGATCTTTAGATACTGTTTTTTTCTGTGAATAATAAACTACCGGGTATCCAAAAATGTGAATTCTGTAGATTTGTGAAGTCCCTTGAGAGACCAATAGTGAGTGCAACCAGTGGCATGAATGGCCTGTCATAGTTAAGTCCAACTGAAAGTCGATCTTTAATAGTCTTTGTGAAACACCCCCCTGCTGCCACTAACGAATCACCAAAGTTGTAAACCTTCCAACCTTAGCAATGATAATAGTTTTGATTATCTAGGAGCACTAAAAACAAAATGTATCATGGCACTTACAAAATCTTAGAATGTGAAGAGAAATATATGAAAGTAATAAAATAGGTATAGATCATTTTATATTTCTGAGGGAAGAGATATACTTTAACGGATCTTTTGAAAGTTGGCAAGACAAATTAATTATCTGATGTAAAGTGGGATATTGTTCCATTTTGACCTATACATAGCTCCTAATGCTTCTAGCATCTCCCCAAAGTTGGCACTATTCTGGCCTTTGATCTTTAATCCAAATAAATGCATTCAACATTTCAATGATTTCAAATCCTCAACATTTCATGATGAGAATTATCTTGCCTCATATCCAAACAAGCTTTATTTAACACATCTGTTGATGTCATAGATCAAGAATTTCAATAATTATGTCTAGTTTTGACAAAATTTGTTTCAAATGAACTCATATTCAGGTATAATTGTGTGTGTGATGTGATTAATGTTAGAACTTAAAGAATGCTACAAAAAAAGACACAAGTGCAAATTATAGCATATTATTCAGCACTTACTTGAACAGTATATTAATCTTAAAGGATTATCAGTTAAATTTGTCTTTATTTCAGTTTGTTGATTTTGTTTTATTCGTCAATTACTATTTTTTTAAATTATTTTTTTTAAAGTATTTTGTTTATAATGGAATCAGGTGTGGTACTACTCAATCAGACTGTTTATTTCTACTATCCATGTATACACCAATTTGATCTTGTGGCAGGTACATGTTCCTCTCTATAGCCAAGTCCATTCATGTATACATCACGAATGACGACCCTATTCTAAACACTATCCTAGTGCTGATAAGGTCTGATGTAAAACAGATGTGTCACAGAATTCCGATTTTGGTTTACAGGAAGATGAACATGTAGCTGCTTTCGATGTCAATAGTTTTGTTGTGATGACGATGATGTAGATGTATGAAGATTGTATATTTTACGAATGACAAATAATATATCAATGAATGTACTTTACACAGAAGAATGAGATACGATATTGCATTGTGAATTCTTGACTTTTGTTTTGACTATTTTTAGGGAATTAATATTTGATGTTGATTTTGATTAACAGAAAAAGATTTGTATCTTAAAGCTGAAAATTAATTTAGTTTGGCAGCTAGATACAAGGGGGGAAATGTGAAAGAGAAAACAAGATGTGATCAAGAAAACAAAATGTGGTACACAGAGACCGCTTTCATTAAGTTCAAGCCTCGGTCACAAATGCCATTACGAACTGCTACGAACGCCGTACGAATAATTTTCAGACAATGGAAATACGGGAAGACAATGGAAAAACGGAGATTCGTACAAAATTGTCGTTCGTACAAACTTTTGTGACCGTAGCATAAGGCATATCAGTCACTTCAACTATCATTCCATTTGAAGTAATATATATAGCAAATAGTGAACAAATAATGTATATTAAATATGTGGAATGAAAGAGATAAGAAAAGGAATTTGGGAATGAAGCAAGAATGAAAAATAGATGGAGGGAGAATGGGAGTGATTGATAGTCGGGAAGGGAAATGGGAGAAAAGGAGAAAAGGAATGAAACAGAATGTGAGATGCAGGTGGTACCAAGATGCAATATATTGAAGATACTTTCTAGGAGGAAAGGGAATAAAGTAGTTAAAGGAAACCAAAACCTTCATATTAAGTTACTATTATTGTAAAGTTTAAGATATTTGAAAAATATCAGTGAAAATTTGAACAAAATCGGGCAAGGAATAAGGAAGTAAGAGCTTTTTGAAATTACTAGTCACTAGAGGGCGGTATTCAATTTGATGACATCATCTGTGGACAACTCTCCATGCCTTTTGTACATTAAATTTCATGTTTTTCCTTCTTTCTTGTGATTGTGATAATGTACTCCCCTGAAAGCAAGATATAGAATGCAAAATGATATTCTACTTCACATGTTATGAAGTCGGATCAAGAACACAAATAAATACGAAGAAAACAAAAAAAATGTGAAATTTTATGTACAAAAGGCATGGAGAGTTGTTCACAGATGATGTCATCAAATTGAATACCGCCCTCTAGTGACTAGTCATTTAAAAAAGCTCTAACTAGGCGTTGTGGCGTGCGCCTGTAATCCAGCTAAAAAGTGGAAGTTACAAACTGATTCAGCCGAGGACGCAGGTTCGAAACTGAGTCACGTCTTTCGGATGGTGACGTTTAAAGGTCGGTCCCAGACGTAAATAATCATATCTGATTGATACACGTTTGTAAAAACCCAATACACACACACACACACTCTAACTTTCTTATTCCTTGTCCGATTTTGTTCAAATTTTCACTGATTTTATTCAAATCTTTTAAACTTTACAATAAAAGTAACTTAGTATGAAGGTTTTGGTTTCCTTTAACATAGAGAGAGATAGGGGGGGGGGGGGGGGGGGGGGGGACCAACATTCCCTGTGAAAATTGATGTTCAATAAACATTGACAAATTGAAATGCCTGCTCGTAGTGGGCACACCATAAAGGCTCGTGTAGGTATGTCACGGCAAAAAGATTAAAAAAAAAAAAAAAGGGCAGCTTTTTTGCGTATATCTGAACAAGCCTAAAGGACAATAAAGAAAGATGTATGAACAGGTTCAACTTTTATTTGGCAACGCTTACCGTTGCTTTCGACTCGATCCTTGTCTGGATAGTGCATTTGCCACTCTCCACCCAGGTGTTAAATGGGTACCCGGTAGGATGCGAAAGCTAATGTGCTTAGATTAGCAAGTGTGCGCTTGTAAAAATGACGCCTGGCTGGAATGCTCCCCAGGGAGTGGAGAATGTGCATACATTGTGTGCGGGTAAGCCTTGAATCCGACGACCGGGGTAATAGTATTATATCTGTAAGGCGCTTTGATAGGGCCCTCCTGAAAAAGCGCCATATAAGAAATAGTTATTATTATTATTATTATTATTATTATTATCATTATTATTATTATCATTATCTAATTTATCTTGGTACAACCCTTTGATTCTTGAAGTTTATCTATAACTATATGTTCTCCGTTGTATAAACGTCTTTCTTTCTCTCTGTCTCTTCTCTCACTTCATACCCGTGTATTTCTATTTCCAATTTTTTGTTTCTTCTCTCGTTTCCATCAATCTCTGCCCCCTCTCCCTTTTATAACTTCTCTGTCAATATTTGTTCTGTCTTCTTTAATACTCTCTTCTTATCTCTACTCTCCATCGAATCACCTCTCTTTGTATCTCTACTCTTCTTTTTCTTATGTGTAAGTGGTACCCCCCCCCCCCCCTCTCTCTCTCTCTCTCTCTCTCTCCCCGCACACTTTCTTATTTTCTCCTTCTTCTTCCATGGATGTAGCATCCATTGATGTTGGTGCATTCTGCCTCTGTACATACTCTGTAGCAGCTTGGTTAGTTCTGGCTATTTCGGTCATCTTACAGCTGGAGTTTTGGGTTTGGAGCAACAAAATATGTTGAAATTTGGCACATTAATAGAGTAATTTGATAAAAATATGAATGTTATTTTTCTCACATTTCAAAGCATATTTTAATATTTAATAATCGTATTAGGCTTTGGGTGTATATTAAACAGGGTAACTGCAGTTTCTGGATTCTGCGTGGTATACCCATTGTCCGATTAAAAACAAAAATTGTTGTCGGATATGCTAGGATCGGGGCTTAAAAGTAATGAAAGCATGTAAACAAAATAATCCACCTTGACCCCTTTTACGGTATTCCAAATACAAAAATACACCCTGATTCGATTTTATTTATATTCACATACCAGTATTATTGTACTTTTGATAACAATAATGGTGATGATGACAATAATAACGACAGTACCAATAATTATAATGATGTTAATAATAATGATGATGATAATATCAATAATAATAACTAAATAATACTAATAATATTAATGATGATAATGAAAAGTTGTACATTTCGGGGGGGGGGGGTAAGGAGCGCTATTTTTTCTTCTCCCAATTCGTGAGAAAATATTTAGCGGCGAATCAGCCAGTGGCGAATAAGCGGGGGGGGGGGGGGGGGGGGGGGGGGTAGGTAAGCACTAATTATTATTATTATTTGTTTTGCTCAACGGGGGGGGGGGGTGAACACTCCTTTTTTTCTCAACACCCCCCCCCCCCCCTCGCTACGCCAACGGAAAGGAACACCGAGTCATTGTTCTTAATTCTACCAGGTAGATATTTCTTGGAATACAAATACTGAAACATTTTGCTGAGCCTCAGTAGAACATAATTTCTCAATGCAGATGCATGAGCATTGTTTACCACAGTAAGCACACAGTAAGCACACGTCAGTGCTTGCCAAAAAAAAAAAAAAAAAGGTCCTCTCGTGGCAGTTAATTTCCGGAGCTTCGAGGTCTGTCAGTGAATCATCAACCTCTGCAAGTTGAGATGAGAAGGAGATGGAAAGGAACAAGGGCGTAGCCAGGATTTTTTTAAGGGGAGATGTTTTTTTCCCAATGCGAGAGAAAATATTTAGCGGCAATCAGCCAGCCGGTGAATACACTGGGGGAGGGGGAAGGGGGTAAGGAACACTATTTTCCCCCTCCCAATTCGTGAGAAATTATTCAGCGGCAAATCAGCTTCTTTTTTCTTCTTTTTTTTTAAAGGGTAAATAGGCTTTTAAGCTATTTTTCACATAATATCTATCTATCTATCTATCTGAGTATTTTCTCCCGGTTCGGAGGTTGATTGCAACATCTCTCCATTTCACTCTATCTTCTGCCATTCTGGTCAGTGCACTCTTGCAGTTTTAGTCCACTCCAGTTCTTGACATTCTCTTCCCAGTTGATTCTGGGTCTCCCTCTAGGTCTACTTCCTTCCTCTCTTCCTTCCAATACATCCTTTAATATTGTTTTCATATCCAACCTCGATTCTAAAAAGGGAGTGGGGGATTTCAACGTTTAATATTAGCATTGAAGAAACTTATTTGATTCTAATGTTTAATATTAGCGATGGGGATTCCCACCGTAATTTTTGCCAGTAATACACAGAACGCGTTATAGTCATCGATCAGATATTGCATTCAACAGGAGTCGTTCTCTTCCGGCATTGCATTTGATACTTGTGTGTCGACCAGTTAGCACGCTTTATCGTGGCCTGTTCAAATATAGAAATTCTACAGAAAATGGCGGCAAAAGCTGTGGAAAAACTCGTCCGTGAACTCGTCTGTGCCGTTTGCATGAACACTTTAAAGAACCCCAAATCTCTCTCATGCAGGCATACTTTCTGCGAAGAATGTTTGAAGCAGTGCGATGAGGCATCACAAGGCCGTTCAGGCGGTATCAGATGCCCTATGTGCAGAGAGGTGACTACTCTTCCAAGAGTAGGTGTGGCAGGTCTCAAGTCCAATCCGCTGATTTACCGGGTTCTCGAAGTCCTTGAGGCAAAGAAAAACTCGACCCAAATAATATGTGACGCTTGTGGGGACAGCGAATCACCCCTGACAACCTACTGCCGAGACTGTCTCCATTTCATCTGTGACTCATGCGCTTCTTCCCATTCTAAAATGAAACTCTTGATGAAAGATCACCGTACAGTTCCCCTGGACAAGATTGAGAACGGGACTATCAAAATCAAGTGGATGGAAGAGGGCTTGTGGAGAAAGGCGCACGAGTGCGAAGAGCATGGCGGTGAACTGCGGAGATTCTACTGCAGGACCTGCAAGAAACGTATCTGCAGGGACTGTATAGTTCTCGACCATACCAAACCTGACCATGACTGCACCACAGTGCAGAAGATGTTTCAGGAAACAAAGGAGAAGTTACAAGATCGTTTGAAAACCTGCGAGGAAAAGGAGGAACATGTGAGCACAATATTAAATGATGTGGATGCACGAGAAACAGGAGCAAACCAGAAGTTTCATAAGATGAAAAAAAGTATTCGGGACCAGAAGTCAAAGGCTGTTGACAATTTGGATAAAGCAGAGGAAGAACTTTTGCAGAAGGTTGACGTGTTGGAGGAAAAGCTTAACGTCAAACTACAAGCTTTCAGAGACAATATGAACACAACAAAAGAAAATCTCACGAGGGCACAATCAAAGGCTAAAGAGGTTGTTTCAGCCAAAGAGGTTACTGACATATCTAGAGGTCCCTTCTTACCTGAAGATGTTCTCAAAGAACTCGAAGAATTGATCGCGTCAGATGTCACTATGACAATTTCTGTGGATCTCGTGGCTTTGAAATCTACCATGATAGAAGGATCGAAGATGCCAGAGCAAATGGCGCGCTTTGCCAAGCTGTCGTTGTCGCGTGTTTGGCGAGAGACTCTGATGTTTCCGATTCCTGATGATAAAGACATTGTGAACATTTTCTCCGATGGAAAGGCAATGTACGTTGCTTGCAAGAAGGTGATTTACAAGAAACTGTTGTCTAGCGAAGCCAAACCGTCCATCTGGTTGAATCTTCAACTTAATGCAAGCATCAAACAGGTGGTAGATGTGGCCATATCAATGAAGGACCAAACCTTCTCTTTCATTGCTGATACCGACGCAGCTTGCACGCAACTCTACAGGTTGAAACTGGAAGATTTCCCAAAATCGGATGAACACACAGCGGTCCCACCGTGTCCTTTGATTCCCAGTGCAAGACTCACTATTGATTCCCAGTCCCTCATCGTTGTTGCCGATAACAAGCCAGCCATATCAAGTTCAAGTCAGGCAACCTCATCAGAGTCCGAACCGGTCAGCGAAACCAAACAGAAAAAACCGACATCATCTCCGGTTGTAGAAGGCTCTCAGACAGGTATATTGAACAGTTAAAGTCAAGTGATGTAAATGTTATTTTCAAACGATATAAAATCCTCTCACATTTCAATATAAAGGATATTATTTCATGTGCCCCCCCCCCACTCACCCCCTGCCATAACTAGTTCAAAAGATTGCCTTCATCGTGAGTGAAGACATTTTCCTCGTTTACGTAAAAAAACGCATTAATAATCATAAAGCAATTTTAAGGCCCCTCTAAAGTGTTGGGAGTCCCAAATTCGTCAAAAATCTATTTGCAAAGATTCACTTATATTGTATCACAACGTGAAAGAGAATGTCATTTAAGACACACTTCAGCAACCCTCCCCCCCCCCCCCCCATTTAAAAAAAAGTGTTTTGAAGGCAAATATTGATAAAAGAATACATAATTTGGGTTTTCTGTTGTACGCAGAAAAACCTACATTTTGTATTCTTTTATCAATATCCGACTTCAAACACATTTGTTTTGAAAATCCTTGCAGAAATGTATCTTATATGACATCTTCCTACACATTATAATACAATTTAAGTTTGCCAATAATTTTTTGGGGCTCCTAACACTTTAGGGGGCCTTTAACAAATGGATTGGATTTTATTCGAAATAGTCACATCAACATAAAAGCCGACCCACCCATCTGTGTATGGGTTGATGCGTAGCACGTAATGTGTACAACGTAATGTACAGTCAAACCTGCTTTCGTGACCACCTGTCTACAAAGGCCACATTTCTTGTTTCCCTTGAAAATGGTTTCTCATTGAATCATGCACTAAAGGAACCTGTCTACAAAGACCACTTGTCTATAAAGGCCACTGTTTGTGTTTCCCTTGGGCGGTCGCTATAGACAGGTTTGACAGGTATAACACATAATTATATCAAGCTTTCGTCAAAGCTTTTTCATTGCGATGCCCCAATAAACTAATACATTTTGTGTACTGTTTTTGTATTCATTAAGTCTGGAATTAAATCACAAATATAGTGTCTGAATATTTTGATGACTTGAAGAACTAAATTGTATAAAATTATGAAAGCGGCAGTAATATCAGACAACGGTCTGTAATTCTTTCAGCTGTTGCAATCCAGGCATTTTCTTTCATCATGTTTAATTCTTACAGTATCTGCTGTCGGCAGTGCCAAGTCTCTAAGCAAGGCAGAAGGCACCCTCTCTCCTTCGGATTCGAAAGGAAAGGAAACAAGACCGGAAATCCCAAAAGCAGGATCAGACATCTTCACAATATCCACGAAAATCTATAGGGAAAATACTGAGAAAAGCACATCTCAGTTATCTTCAGATAATTTCGAGGTTCCACTTGATAGGGTTAGAAGTCTTGCTGCGGCGAAGACAGGTCAGCTGGTGTTCCTGCGCGGGGACAAGAAAGCCGTCATCATCACTGACAAAGACGGGGGAGTCCAGCTAGAAATCAAGGAGCCTGGCAGGATGTACTTGTCCATCTCCTGCACAGAGAGTGACGCCCTCTACGTTCTGTCCGCCTTCTGGGGCAGCCACATCGTCACGCTCGCCAAGCATTCCTTGGAAGATGGTGGTCCCCTCGAGTACATCATCGACGAGCTCGACGTGTCGGCAGACTTCCAGTCAGACGAGTGGCCAGTCATTGGTAACTATGGAAACGACCTCGTGATCATGCACACGGGGGATGGGATTCGTGTTTTCTCGGCAGAAGATTGGGATATATTAGATGACAAAGACGCCAATGGCCAAGACCAAGATGACGATAAGGAGGAGGATGTTTAGGGTGTTGAATAAGGATTCCTGGTTTTAATGGAGATAAAATCCAATGCATATTCAGAATATGGAAAAGTTTTAACAGGGTAATGGTTATAACAGGTAAACAGTATGTTTCTTTTATGAATACAATCAAATCTTAGTCCGTTTTACTTTCAAGATTTCAGATATAATCGGTGACCAGTCGCCATTCTTTACGTTACATACTCACATGCATTATTCATATAACATTTAATAATCATTATTACGTTCAAATCAACTTCGATTAGCGATTCTGGTAATCATCAGAAGAGGTGATATCTCTTTCAAAGAACAAATAACATTCGTGGTTTTTTCTTCTTTAACTTGAAGATCTATCATTCTATACTTTGAGGGTCTGTAAATACAGCCAAGGAGCATCATGTGCCTTTACTGATATCAAAGTGATATCAATTACCATCCATTTTCTCAAACTGTGATTTGTATGATAGTGCGAATGTAAATCATTGTAGAAATACATGTATATTTCATTTTAAAAGTCCTGTGGAAACAAGGTAATGATGACAATCATTTCAATTTTCACACGTGATGCATTTATGTTAGTCTTTCCTATATAAAAGGAGCCGAGATTATGTTCGGGCTTATGATGTTTATAAATGCTGATACTGCCATTGAAAAATGGTTTCTCGATATTGATGTAGTAAAAAAAAATATATTAGCCTACTTATGTACATAAATATCTAAACTTTGATGAGAAAATCACTGTTATATTATCACATTTTCAGTAGAAAACCTTTAAAACAAGACACCCTTTCTTCTTCAAAATTTTGATTTGGCTATTGCTCGTATAATGAGTAAAACCAATAGATAGAGGTAAGCAAATCAACATGATTAGATTTTATAAAACGCAAGAGCAAAAATAAGTGTTTTGCCGAAATCGGACACATGATAAGAAAGTAGTGATTTGTGTTAAAGATATTTTTTTTAAAGTAAGGGCATGAAACAAAACTGTACTGTTATCGTAAGACTGATACCCTTTCTTTGTGTATATAGTTTTATCAAAGATTTCCAATTTTGTTTTCGTTCATGAAACTGATTTCATTATGCATTTGTTTTTGTGTGGTAAATATGTAATTGCAGATACGGAAAAAAGTAAAATATTTTGGATGAATGACTAGGCCTATTTCAATTATCTATAGTTTAAGTATTTTATTGCAAGGGAGGGAGAAACCTAGCTAGAAAGTTTGTATTAGTTCACATTTATTAGAGTCTATAAAGCGTATTATGTCCTTTACTCATTGTTATTTCACTAAATAATTTGAATTTTACTAAATTTTGAGGGATGGGGCAACCCTCCCCCCCCCCCCCCCCCATTTTTTTTTTTTTTTTTTTTTTTTTTTTTTTTTTTTTAATTAAAAAAAAAAAAAAAATAGTATCCTATGGACGTGACCCCACCCCATTCCCTTTTCCGAGATCGCCGTCTCTTGTTTCAGGGCGTATCAATATTTTGTGAGACAGAAACTATATTGGCCGTAACGTGTAAGAGGTCGTTTATTTTTCTCGGAATAGGGTTACTCCCTAGTGACGGTAATCGCGCGGTTTCTTATTACGTTGTGAAGGGGAGGGGTCTTTATTTTATCAAATTGGGGTTTAGGACTTTTTTCGGTGTTATCATGCAATAGTTTTAGTGTATATGACTATAGTGATCGATCTAGCGTTGAAATAGAGGTTGATAATTCGGCTAGTCTTGGACATTGACCGCGTTGCAATTGTCGAGAGAGCATGAGTCTATAAAAAAGAAACACAATCAGCAAAAACAGATTTCTAGCTGCTCATTCCTTTTTGTCATTCCTTTGTTTCAGAAATAAAGACTAACTGGATAAGTTCAACCCAATTACGTTTCTCTCATGTGGTCATTTTTTTTTTCATTTTTATTTTAGATCAATGAACGAAATTAACAACTTTGTTGATAACATTTCAGCCTCCCAATGCACTGTAATTGTCAAAATGTAAAATTAGAAAAAGAAAAAGAAAAAAGAAAGCAGATTTTGCACAGGGACAATATTCTAAACAAAAAGTCCCTGAAAAGGTTTTTAAAAACACTTGCACGTTTGTTGTGGCACAAATTGTCGCCGCGGCACAAAATGTCAACGGCGACAACTTGTGCCGATTTTGCAAAACCTGACGGCACAAATTGTCGCCACCGGTACAAATTGTCGACGGCGACAATAATTTATGCCGGATGTTGACGGCACAAATTGTCGACAGCCATGATCAAAGCACATTACATGGGCATATGTATGCCGGGATGTATTCATACACACAAACAGCCAAGGTCACGCAACGTGTGTGTGTGTGTGTGGGGGGGGGGGGGGGTGAAGGTGGAGGGGTGGATGTGTGTAAGGTGGGTGTGGGTGTTTGAGGTGTGGGTTTATGTGTGTATTGACGGGGGATAGTAAGCACTAAAAATAAAATCCTTATTTGTTTTAACTCAACACCTCCCCCCCCCCCTTTGAGCAAAAAAAAGGGTCAAATTGTGGTTACCATCTTTTTAAAAACTGTTTTCTTTTACCAGCCCCCCCCCCCCCCCTCCCATTGGATCCGCCACTGAAAGAGAGACACATATAGAAAGAGAACGCAATTCCAAGAGAGAAAGAGAGAGAGAGAGAGAGGGTGAGAAAAGGGAAAAGGGTGAGAAGATAAGACGGTGAGACCCCCCCCCCCCTCCCCCCCTTCACCTGTTCTCTACCACAGGCCTGAAAAGAAAATGTGCGACCGGTGCTTTTCATCATTAGCCCCCCCCCCCCCCCCCCCCCCCCAAAAAAAAAAAAAAAAAAAAAAAAAAAAAAAAAAAATGGTATTTGATGAACATAATTATGGTTAGTAGAAATAAACAAAACTTTTTCACGTTGAGTGGTGATAAATTTGGGTTGAATTAGTCCAGAATCTAGCCTATTTAATTTTGATCTCCACCACACCAACGCTACCTCTCCCTACTTACTTGTTACCAGCCGATGATGGCGTGATCATTAAATTAGGACGCCCTGCGAAAAAATAAATATCCTCAGGCTGGGCTGGTGAGCATAACTATTAGTTTGTTGATAACGCCATCTTCGACGGTTTGAATCAAGTGTGTATGGAAATTATAAAGGACCGTGCAGATTCTGGACTAGGGTTGAGTGGGACGATGGTAGGTATATCACAGAGATGGCTGTTGAAAGCGATGTAAGCCATGCCCCCCGCCCCGTTCACCCTAAGAATAGACGCTACACAATTTCAATTCAATTCAATTCAATTTCAATTTAATTTATTTCTCCACAAATGCCAAACATAGGAAAATACATTAAAGATACTATGTCCCTTTTGCAGCCAACATCAAATTCTGTAGAACTTTGCAGGAATTATGGATTATGTCATGTAAGTCTTATCTGTGAAATTTAAACGTTAGCAGTGTCCTAATATTCAAATTATGCAAAGAAACCCGTTTACTTGCTAGACTTCATAGTCAGCCACTATTGAGTGACTGACTGGCTTATTTTCTTCTTTGGTAATACCATACATAAACTGAGCTGTAAAGGGTACATGATGAGCATATGTCTACATCAATAACCCACTTCTTGTATTTGCCAAAATTAAACTGATTGAATCTATGCGCAGCATAAAACGTACGAAAATTCGGTTCAATGGTCTGAAAATCAGACTATTACTTACTGGCTCTATAGCTCATAAGTCGATTCGACAACTAATAGTAGTAGTTATTTTCCCATTGAGAGACATTTTAACCCCCCCCCCCCTTTTTTTTTTAGGGAAGTTCTAAATTCGTATTATCTTTCAAATGCCGTTGGAATTTAACGTTTTCATTTTTTTGGCCTGCAAATGGGACATAGTATCTTGAAATAAAATACATACCCGGTACATACAATACAATAATAGAACATGTACAGCATATATGGAGTAATGTATGTTTTAAAAAGAAGAAAAAAATCATCAAATGTTGAAGGGGGTAGTCAAAATAAAAAATGATTTATCGAGGACTACCCCCAATAATTACCAAAAATTATACAATTAAAAGTAAATATAAGGTCAAATGATGGGGTGGTACCAATAACGCTGCACATCCCAGGAAAACTTGATAGCTAATTTTGAATTGAATTTTGCTTTCCACGTTTGTTTAACATACATTAGTATACGAAAGAAGACGTGTACGTGTACAAACAACCTGTACTAAAAAATGTATGCATGAATTCAAAAATAACTTGGTGAAGGAATATTATTATTCAATTGTAAAACGTCAATACTCATCATTAGCAAATTAGACGAATGTTAAGCGCATAAAAAAACACCTAAGATTGACTTTAAGTTGGACTTTAGTATGGCAGGCGGTTCATGCCACTGTTTGCTCATATCATTATGATGTTTAAATAATATTTTTTCCTTCAATAATGAATAATAAAAAAAAATGTAAATTCTGTACATTTGTGACCATGATTTGCACGTCCCTTGAGAGACGAAAGCCAGTAAAAGGTGAGAGCAAACAATGGCATTAACAGCCTGCCATACCAAAGTCTAACTTAAAGTCAATATTAGTCTTTGTGAAATGCCCTCCAGGTATATACTTTCTTTCCCTCGCTGATCATCCTATTTGAGATAACTATAATAATCTGTTTATAATGTTAAACATGCAGAATAGTGGCATTGGTTGAGTCCATTAAAAAAAAACGTTTACAAAAGAAGATATATATACATATATAATTTATATATATATATATATATATATATATATATATATATATATATATATACTAATGTATGTGAAAATCGAGCCTACCGATATCTCGCTCAGTGGGGGGGGGGGGGGTAGTATGCATAATTTTTTTTTGGTATTTGACCCTGAATACTTTTTTTTTTTGGTATTAAAAAAAAAAAAAAAAGCCAGGCTGAAAGAGGCTGAAATACTATTAACAAAGTTATTTCGTCCATTGATCTAAAATAAAATGGAAAAAAAACAAACAAAGACCACATGAGAGAAATGTAATTGAGTTGAACTTATCCAGTTAGTCTTTATTTCTGCAACAAAGGAATGACAAAAAGAAATGAGCTGCTAGAAATCTGTCCTTGTTAATTTGTTTGTTGTTAATAGACTCATGCTCCCTCCAATGTCGAAGACTAGCCGAATTATCAACATCTATTTTAACACTAGATCGATCACTACAGTCTTATACACTAAACCTATCGCATACTAAAACCGAAAAAGTCCCTTAACCCCCAATTTGACGAAATAAAGACCCCCTCCCCATCTCGTTCGTAATAAAAAAAAACGCGCGCGATTACCGTCACTAGGGCTCTTAGTAATCATATTCCGAGAAAAATAAACGACCTCTTACACGTTACGGCAGTTTTTAAAGTTTATGTCTCACAAAACATTTATTGTCTCACAAAACAAATATTTATCTTTGTTGATGTGAACATTACATCTTTATCATCACTATATTTAATTCATTCAAGGTTTCTTCACTTTATACTCTCTGATGTAATATTAATTTGCCAATTTCACTTAATTCAGGAACATCACCTTATTTAACCAATATTGAAACTTAGCTTTAATATCTTATCTTTTATCGTATTTTATCTGTATAAACATCTAAATATTATCCCACCTACGTATCACTGTTGCAATAAACCTGTAAAATGTTAATTATCAATTTTCTATCTCATGTAAAACGAATGACAATTTTATATCCTCAATGAAACTGTAAATCGTATTTAGATATACACAATCTTTGTTCAGTGTTCTATATATTTTAATATGTTATCAATGCAATGTTATGCCATGTACTTTTTACTCTGTAAATTGAACAATTTCAGCTTTTAGCTGCATGTCCAATGATTTTTTATCTCAATAAACCAATACAATACAATACAATATTGATACGCCCCGCAACAAGAGACGGCGATCTCGGAAAAGGGAATGGGGTGGGGGCACGTCCCTAAGATACTAGCCCCCATCCCCCGAAATTTAGTAAAATTCAAATTATTTAGTGAAATAAGGCCATAACACGCTTTATAGACTCTAATAAATGTGAACTAATACAAACTTTCTAGCTAGGTTTTGCTCCACTATACTACTTATAGCTACTTGCGCCCTCTATATAGCAAATAATGAGATAACCACCTGTAAGTGACCTTGCAGGGAGGTCTAATCCCATCTGGCCAAACTAGTACAGATGGGCTTTAAAATGTAGATAATTGGAATAGGCCTAGTCATTCATCCAAAATATTTTACTTTTTTCTGCAAAATCTGCAATTACATATTTACCACACAAAAACAAATCAGTTTCATGAACGAAAACAAAAATTGGAAATCTTTGATAAAACTATATACACAAAGAAAGGATATCAGTCTTGCGATAACAGTACAGTTTTGTTTTATGCCCTTACTGTAAAAAAAAAATATCTTTAACAAAAATCACCACTTTCTTATCATGTGGCCGATTTCGGCAAAACACTTAACTTAATTATAAACTCTTGTCTCTTATTGCTCTTGCGTTTTATAAAATCTAATCTATCTATTGTTTTAATTCATTATACGAGCAGTAACCAAATCAAAATTTTGAAGAAGAAAGGGTGTCTTGTTTTAAAGGTTTTCTACTAAAAATGTGATAATATAAAAGTGACTTTCTCATCAAAGTTTAGATATTTATGTACATAAGCAGGCTAACATGATTTTAAAAAAAAACTATTTACTACAACATTATCAAGCAACCATTTTTCAATGGCAGTATCAGCATTTATAAACATCATAAGCCTGAACATTTTTCAGCTCATTTTATATTATGAAAGACTAACATAAATGCATCACGTGTGAAAATTGAAATGATTGTCATCATTACCTTATTTCCACAGGACTTTTAAAATGAAATATACATGTATTTTTACAATGATTTACATTTGCACTATCAAACTAATCACACTTTGAGAAAATGGATGGTCATTGATATCACTTTGGTATCATTAAAGGCACATGATGCTCCTTGGCTGTATTTACAGACCCTCAAAGTACAGAATAATAGATCTTCAAGTTAAAGAAAAAAAATCCACAAATGTTATTTGTTCTTTGAAAGAGATATCACCTCTTCTGACGATTACCAGGAATCCTTATTCATCACCTTAAACATCCTCCTCCTTATCGTCATCCTGGTCTTGGCCACTGACGTCTTTGTCATCTAATATATCCCAATCTTCCGCCGAGTAGACACAAATTCCATCCCCCGTGTGCATGATCACGAGGTCGTTACCATAGTTACCAATGACTGGCCACTCGTCTGACTGGAAGTCTGCCGACACGTCGAGCTCGTCGATGATGTACTCGAGGGGACCACCATCTTCCAAGGAATGCTTGGCGAGCGTGACGATGTGGCTGCCCCAGAAGGCGGACAGAACGTAGAGGGCGTCACTCTCTATGCAGGAGATGGACAAGTACATCCTGCCAGGCTCCTTGATTTCAAGCTGGACTCTCCCGTCTTTGTCAGTGATGATGACGGCTTTCTTGTCCCCGCGCAGGAACACCAACTGGCCTGTCTTCGCCGCAGCAAGACTTCTAACCCTATCGAGTGGAACCTCGAAATTATCTGAAGATAACTGAGACGAGCTTTTCTCAGTTTTTTCCCTATAGATTTTCGTGGATATTGTGAAGATGTCTGATACTGCTTTTGGGATTTCCGGTCTTGTTTCCTTTCCTTTCGAATCCGAAGGAGAGAGGGTGCCTTCTGCCTTGCTTGGAGACTTGACACTGCCGAAAGCAGATACTGTAAGAATAAAACAAGATGAAACAAAAGGCTTGGATTGCAACAGCTGAAAGAATTACAGAGCATTATCTAATATTACTGTACACTTTCATAATTTTATACCATCAAGTTCTTCAACTCATCAAAATATTCAGACACTATATTTGTGATAGCCTTCCAGACCTAATGAATACGAAAACAGTACATAAAATGTATTAGTACATGTATATTGGGGCATCGCAATGAACAAGATTTGACGAAAGCTTGATATAATTATGAGTTATACCTGTTAAACCTATCTATTGCGACCGCCCAAGGGAAACACAAAAAGTGGCCTTTGTAGACAGGTGGTCTTTGTAGACAGGTTCCTTTAGTACATGAGAAACCATTTTCAAGGGAAACAAGAAATGTGGCCTTTGTAGACAGGTGGTCTTTGAAGACAGGTTCCTTTAGTACATAATTCAATGAGAAACCATTTTAAAGGGAAACAAGAAATGTGGTCGCTAAAGCAGGTTTGACTGTACATTACGTAGAACACATTACGTGCTACGCATCAACACATACACAGATCGGTGGGTCGGCTTGTATGTTGGTGTGACTATTTCGAATAAAATCTTATCCATTTGTTAAAGGCCCCCAAAGTGTTAGGAGCATCGAAAATTAAATGGCAAAATTTATAATAATGTGTAAGAAGATGTCATATAAGATACATTTCTGCAAGGATTTTCAAAATAATGTGTTTGAAGTCAGATATTGATAAAAGACTACAAAATGTAGGTTTTTCTGCGTACAACAGAAAACCCAAATTATGTATTCTTTTATTAATATTCGCCTTCAAAACACATTAAAAACAAGAAACAAGTTGGTGGGATTTTTGCAGAAGTGTGTCTGAAATGACATTCTCTTTCACATTATGATACAATATAAGTGAATCTTTGCAAATAGATTTTTGGCAAAATTGGGGCTCCCAACACTTTAGAGGGGCCTTAAAATTGCATTATAATTATTAATGCGTTTTTACGTAAAAGAGGAAAATGTCTTCACTCACGATGAAGGCAATCTTGAGTACTAGTTTTGGCAGGGGGTGAGTGGGGGGGGGGGCACATGAAATTATATCCATTATATGGGAATGTGAGAGGATTTTATATCGCTTGAAAATAACATTTACATCAGTTAACTTTACCGGTTCAATATTTACCTGTCTGAGAGTTGGAGGTTGTGCCAGTGAAGCAGGGTTGCTGTAGAGGCAGTGTCATACCAAAGGTAAATCCACCACCAGCCGCTGCCATTGGTCTCTTATTTGAGTTACCTTTAACAACCGGAGAGAAAGGTGGTGCATTCACATTTATCGCAGATGATGTCGTTTTTTTTCTGTTTTGTTTCGCTGACCGGTTCGGACCCTGATGGGGTTGCTTGACTTGAACTTGATATGGCTGGCTTGTTATCGGCAACGACGATGAGGGACTGGGAATCAACAGTGAGTCTTGCACTGGGATTCAGAGGACATGGTGGGACCGTTGTGTGTTCATCAGATGTTGGGAAATAATCCAGTTTGAACCTGTAGAGTTGCGTGCAAGCTGCGTCGGTATCAGCAATGAAAGAGAAGGCTTGGTCCTTCATTGATATGGCCACATCTACCACCTGTTTGATGCTTGCATTAAGTTGAATCTTCATCCAAGTGGCCGGGTTGGCTTCGTTAGACAACAGTTTCTTGTAAATCACCTTCTTGCAAGCAACGTACATTGCCTTTCCATCTGAGAAAATGTTCACAATGTCTTTATCAGGAATCGGAATCATCTGAGTCTCTCGCCAAATACGCGACAACGACAGCTTGGCAAAGCGCGCCATTTGCTCTGGCATCTTCGATCCTTCTATCATGGTAGATTTCAAAGCCACGAGATCCATAGAAATTGTCATAGTGACATCTGACGCGATCAATTCTTCGAGTTCTTTGAGAACATCTTCAGGTAAGAAGGGACCTCTAGATATGTCAGTAACCTCTTTTGCCGAAACAACCTCTTTAGCCTTTGATTGCGCCCTCGTGAGATTTTCTTTTGTTGTGTTCATGTTGTCTCTGAAAGCTTGTAGTTTGACGTTAAGCTTTTCCTCCAACTCGTTAACCTTCTGCAAAAGTTCTTCCTCTGCTTTATCCAAATTGTCAACAGCCTTTGATTTCTGGTCTCGAATAGTTTCTTTCATCTTATGAAACTTCTGATTTGCTTCTGTTTTTTGTACATCCACGTCATTTAACATGGTGCTCACATGTTCCTCCTTTTCCTCGCAGCTTTTCAGACGATCTGTTAACTTCTCCTTTGTTTCCTGAAACATCTTCCGCATTGTGGTGCAGTCATGATCAGGTTTGGTATGGTCGAGAACGATACAGTCCCTGCAGATACGTTTCTTGCATGTCCTGCAGTAGAACCTTCGCAGTTCACCGCCATGCTCTTCGCACTCGTGTGCCTTTCTCCACAAGCCCTCTTCCATCCACTTGATTTTGATAGTCCCGTTCTCAATCTTGTCCAGGGGAACTGTACGGTGATCTTTCATCAAGAGTTTCATTTTAGCATGAGAGGAAGCGCATGAGTCACAGATGAAATGGAGACAATCTCGGCAGTAAGTTGTCAGAGGTGATTCGCTGTCCCCACAGGCGTCACATATTATTTGGGTTGAGTTTTTCTTTGCCCCAAGAACTTCGAGAACCCGGTAAATCAGCGGATTGGACTTGAGACCTGCCACACCTTCTCTCGAAAGAGTAGTCACCTCTCTGCACATTGGGCATTTTATACCACCTGAACGGCCTTGTGATGCCTTATCGCACTGCTTTAAACATTCTTCGCAGAAAGTATGCCTGCATGAGAGAGATTTGGGGTTCTTTAAGGTGTTCATGCAAACGGCACAGACAAGTTCACGGACGAGTTTTTCCACAGCTTTTGCAGCCATTTTCTGTAGAATTTCTATATTTAAACAGGCCACGATAAAGCGTGCT